GATCTTAGCCATAACATGACTCCCTCTCCCTTCTTCAAAAGTAAACTGTAGCCTCTGTCTTGGCGGCATCAGGATATGGGCACAGAGCTGACCATCTGCTTGCACTCGTGTTGGAGTGGAATGGAGGAGACAGGATGCTAGATAGCAAGAGATTACAGCCCTAGGTCACCAGGCAGAACACAGAAGTAAGCGTCCCAGGCAGAACACAGAAGTAAGCGTCCCAGTCCATGAGGATGGACTGGGGAGGAAAGCAGAGCAAGGTGAAGCAAGGCAGAGGGGTGGGACAACCACCAGCCAAACCGCCTTGCCATCCAGCCCTGGAAAAATAGGAGATGCAGGCACTTCTAGACTGTCTCCAGGGTCCTGGCAGCATCTTGTCTTACTATTGTCCTGTAGCTAGGTTTCATGGAAACAGTCTTCCAGAAATGTCCCCTAAGTCTAGTAAGGCTGTGAGGAGGGTATAAACTCCACACACCAGCTGTGAGACTCAGCACTGCAGGGGTCGAATGAGGACCATGGTGTTGATGTCCTGATGATACCAGGGCCAATTCTCAGGCTCCAAGGCAGATGGTTGTTGAAAGCTGTCTCCCTAACCTTTCCCTTAACACTCTCCTCTTGGCCAGGGAGAGGCCTCAAGAGTCTACTCTATCCAGTGCTTTGGCAACTGGAAAGTTCTATTGCACGTGTGGAACTGTGCATTGACATGCCAGGAACATGCCCATGGCTCTTGGACCTCTTTGCTTGTTTCCATGTTGATCTTAACTTGTTTTTGCAGAGTCATCACAACAGCTCCCAAGCTGTCTGTCAGTGAGCCTCAGGTCCCCCAGGGGGCCCTCAGTAAGCCATGCAGAAGTTTTATATCAAAGCCTTCGCTGAGCGCAGGGAAAGTAGGGCTTTCTGTCCTGCTCTGTGTCTGCTTATCAGAATCCATAGCTGGATAAGGTCCAAACCTGGATCTTCTATGGCCAGAAGCCAGAATTCTGGCCATTCTGGACTCAACCCTCAAGGGCCTCCCTTGAGGGAGACATAGATAAATCTTAGCAGCAGGCTATCACCACCCAGTCTAATCTACCTGAGAGCAGGAAGAGGCTTCCTGGAGTTTGATTGCATCTCAGGAACACAGTCTGCCCCTACTGTGATTTCCAGAAGCTCAGCACATGAGCAGTATATGGCCCTACCATGAGCATCACAAGGAACAGGGTGAATTGGGGAGAAGGGGAAAAGAGTGATAGGCAGTGCAGTGGACAAGGAACAGAGAATGATGCTGAGAAAATCCATAGATTATTGGCCTTGGACTGGCTGTGGCCCATCTGGATTCCCACTGCCGGGAAGCCCAGATCAGGTTTCTAGAGGCAAGTGTGAGCTACTGGGGACAGGATGTGATAGCACAGATGTTGGCCTGGATGGACAATCACCCCTTTTCCTTTCTCATGGCTCTCAGAATCACCTTTGAAGAGTTGCAGGCTGTGCAGTAGTGTGACCATCAGGCAGGACAGAGATCACAGGGCAAAGGACTCAGTGATCCTCTGGGCCTTGGTCCCTTGGCGGGTATTACCCTGCTCACCATCACCGAGGCCCTAGTGTCCCTCCCTAAGAGCTCTGAGGTTCATGGCCAAATCCTGATACCTGGTGACCCAAGTAACTATTGTACCTAGCAATGGAGTTCTAGGCTGTTGGCCCAAGCCAGTGCCTTGCTCCGTGCCCCAGCCAGGGCTCCAGTGTGAGCTGTGATCACAGCCTCAGCAATCCCCTCTGTTAAACAGTCCCATCCATGGCCCATGTACTTGGCTACACTCCTGCATAGTGTGTTCACGGGATAGGCCAAGTCACTGAGGGTCCCCTGCTGTCCTGTGTGGCACTGGAAAAGGAGGAGCATCTGTGATGAGGGAAAGGGGTTCAAGGCATCTTAACTATGTGAAGGTCTCCTGTGAGGTCCAGGACTTGGGCTCAGTAGGCTCAGCAAACTTCATGTCCTTCCATGTGTGGAATGTTCTGGGTCAGTTAGCTGCTCTGCCCTTGCCTGATCTTTACAAAAGCCAAAAGCTGTGCAGGCAAAGTGGGAGCAGAACTTTCTCATTTTTTTTTTTCCTTTTTGGGGGTTTGGTTGGTTCAAGACAGGGCCTCACTGTGTAGCTGAGGCTTGTTTTGTCACTTTGTAGCTCAGGCTGGCCTAGAACTCACAGTGATTCTACTGCCTCAGTCTCCCAAATTTGGGATGGCAGGTGAGCGACACCAAACCTTGGGCATTCTGTGCTTTGTGCCACTACAGGAAGTGGCTCTTCCACAGAGGAAACCACCCTGGGCACATTGGGTCAGAGAGAAAACTTATCTGTACTTGTGCCACTGACGTACAGTAAGGACCAATAAAATGAAAGGAAGAGATACAGTGAACAAAGAGATGAAGATATTTCCCTCCAGCACTGTGGAGCTCTGGGACTGGTTCTGAGTACCTTCCTCTCTCTAAATTGCACAATTATGATAGAGATAATGGGAAGATATCCTGTCATATGTTTCCTATGTAGTTGGTTTCAATTGGTCAACCTGGATTTAACAAAGAATGGATCAACCTACCTTTGGGAGGGCCACAGTCAGGGCTGCATAAATCATTCTCCAAGATTCTCAGCCCTCATTCTCTTCTCCAACTCCTGCCATTCCAGGAGCTGCACTGAAGTCATGGCCCTGGGGCTCCTGTATCTGGGCCTTACTCTGCTGGGAATCCTGCAAACCCAAGCCCAGGATGCCCCTCCAGCCCTGCCCCTGAACCCTCTGCTGTCCAGTGTCCCCCTGCAACCAGACTTCCAGGAAGAACAGGTAAGTCTCTGCGAGGGCTGCAGCAGAGGGGTGGGGGACAGGGGCAGAAGGAGCAGATGGAAGAGAGGCCAAGTGCTTCAGGAGTGGTGTCGGGTGGAAGGAACAGGCCTCAGCGAGTCCAGGCTCAGTGCATGCCATGGAGGACATCATCAGTCCTTGCACACAGAGGAAGACAGTGAGGCTCTGGATGGACCCCAGCCACTTGCCAAGGGGCAGCCCAAATTTCTGACAATTCAGGGCAAAACTTCATGCAAGGTTCCTCCTGGTCCTGCAAGGTCCTATAACCTGCCAGTTTCCCAGGGGTGCCCCTCCTCAACCAGAAAGCTGCCAAGAGGTATCAGAAGGACAGGATGGGATGGGTGCCTCTGGGGCCATCACTGGGCTCTGTCACTGACTCCCTCTTTCAGTTCCAGGGGAAGTGGTATGTCATAGCAGTGGCAGACAACTCAGTACGCTTTGAAAACGTGACCCAATTAGACATGTACAGCATGAAACTCCAGCTGAGTGATGACCATAGCTACAATGTCACCTACACTGGCTTCAGGTGAAGGCTCCTCCTTCTGGGACCCTGAGAAGAAGATCAATATCACAGCCAAGGGGTGACCAAAGCTGAGGGATACTTTCATTCATCTACACTGAACCAGTCTTTCTACCTCCATTTTTTATTTTCTCCCTCTTTGCTTCCAACAACCTTCATGGGGAGTGAGAGAGACAGAGAGAGAGAGAGAGAGAGAGAGAGAGAGAGAGAGAGAGAGAGAGAGACTGACTAGGGTGTCCCAAAAGGGAGGAAGGACATTGGTTCCTTGGGACTCCACCCAAGGCCTCCATCCAAGCCTTGTAAGGAAAAGACCACAATGGAGCCAACCTCCATGTAATCCTAGGAGTCTCAGGTCCAGGGGCTGAGGCAGGATAATCCATAGTTTGAAACTAACCTGAGTAACTTAGTGTGACCCTGTCTCAAAATAAAACAACAAGGCTGAAGATGTAGCTCAGTGTGATGTGTGAGGGTTCATCCTCACTATCAACACCACCGCCAAGGGGACAAAAAGAGGTTCAGGATATAGTGGGGGCTGCTGAAATTTGACTCAGAGAACTTCACCTTAGGAAGCAGCTATGCAGCCAATTATCAGTGTAAGAACCTGATTAGGAGCTGGTGAGAAGCCAGGAGAAGAGCATTTCCAGGTCAGTTTCTATGACACTTCACCCCCTAGTCAGGACCTGGCCTGGTGCTCCTGCAAGGCCCAGAATCTGTTCACATGTGTCTCACAAGTGTGGAGAACCCCAAGGGTAATATTTGGGGCTTCCAGGTGGGAGGTAACAGAGGTGGGTTAGATGAGGTTGAGTAACGGGGAGCCCAGGCTCAGACAACTGCAGTGAGTTCTGGATCCTTTCACTGGGTGGATTGGATTTGGAGCACTTATGAAGTAAGGAGTATAAGGAAGTCAGATGTTGGGCTTTTTGGGGTTCATGAGTAGGGTGGAATGAGGGGAGAGCTCAGCTGTGGCCCAAGGGCTAGGTCTATATTTGGCAGGGCAGACTGGATGCTCGGAAGAATTTGCCAGGAGAGATGAGAAAGGGGAGAATCAAGATAAGAGCAGGGCTCAGTGCCCGGTGTCTGAGTGTCAGACAGGCTGAAATATGGTGGCGACAGGGGGACACAGTGTTCTAGAGTGCTGGTCTAGCAGTGATTGCCTCAGACCCCTCAGATGTTCAGAGAAGGCCCTTGGAGGCCCAGGGCATGGAGTGGGCCAGGAGGGATTCCAACCGTGGTGGGAACCAGATGTCAAAATCTGAGCTGGACTGGAGCTTGAGAATTTCACTTCAGCCCTTGGCCCACCTCACCTAGCTCAGGGGGACCAAGGCCATGTTATAGGCCTGACCTGACCCCCATCCTCTCTATCTTATAGTGAAGAGTATTGTCAACTCTGGAGCACAGGTTTTGTCCCAACTGTACTGCCTGGACAGTTCACCCTGGAAAATGTGACAAGTGAGTCCTCATTGAGGGGGGCTCTGGGATTGTAATTGGTATGGAGTTTCTTCCCAGAAGAGTACGGGCTTCCCTGACCCTGCACAGATGGTATCCTGTGGTAAGGAGCCCCTGCTCACTGGTTCAGAGGAATGAGACAGTACCTTCCTCCAGACTCAGGCCAGGAATGACTTTTGCCTTCAACACTGCAGGTTTCAGTGGAATACAGAGCCATGTTGTGAGAGTGGTATCCACGGACTACAATCAGTTTGCCACCATATTCACGAAGATAATGTATAAAAGCAGGGTATACTTTGAATCTACCCTCTTAGGTAGGTCTTCACCTCATCTCCTCAGAAACTGGGATCCTGGAAATCTTTGGAGAAGGGGGCCCTATACCCAAGGCAACAAGGTCTGATCTAGTTCAAGCCCCTTTTTCATGGAAGAGGTTTTCCCACAGATTCTCCTCGGGAAAGGGATGTGAAACATCATTCAAACATTCAACACTATTTGCAGAGTGAGATGGGAGGGGTGACTCATGCCTTCCTTCCCAGCACTTGGGATTCTGAGGCTGGAGCTTTGGGAGTTTAAGGCCAGACTGAGCTACACACATATCAAGATCTGGTCTCAGAAAAGTTTACAAAAAATTATGATGTTCTCTCCATTGTCTACTCACCATAAACCTTGACCACAGGGAGAGCCAAGGAGCTGAGTTCTGAAGTAAAGGAGAGCTACCTCGAATTTTCCAAGTCTCTGGGCCTCTCTGAGGAGGACATTGTCTTCACTTATCCCATTGGTAATGTCCAGTGGGGAGAGTGGAATGGGATGCTGGGTCTTTCCAAGTCTGATGTTCTCCACCAGGAAAGGGAAATGAAGATTCAGAACCCTGCTCTAGTCACTGGAGTAGTAGTGTCTTCCATCCTGGGGATTTATAAGTCCTAGTTCCAAGTGCTTTTAATGATAGTTTAGCCAAATCCCGCCCAGATGACAATTTCAGGCTCAAATCAAGTTTCCTTAGTCTCACTACCCAGGGACAACTCCTAACTATATGTTGGGTTTCTGTCATGGGCCACCTAATTCCATTAATTTGTGTCATGTTGCCTTGGGACACTGGCTCAAAATACCTGGAGGTGTTCTGTGGTGAGTCATCTATAAAATCCCCCGAGGCTTACTGATTTCTGAGGTGGGAGATATCTTTATTATTAAGGGACCTGGCCCAGGCATGGTGGCCCACTTGGGCCATTTTGGGCCATTGGCTGTGTACATGGCAGAGGTCAGCAGAAAATAGTTTTGAGGGCTTGGTTCTGGACCATGGGAAGCTCATCCTTAGGCTCTCAGATTTTGACGTCTGGTTCCCACCGGATCTTTCATAGTTGGGCCAAATTGGGCCTGAGGTAGCAAGGGGTATCACAAGAGTTCTGGAAGCCAGAGATTATCTGAGAGAGAAGTGGTGGGGAGAAAGACCTGCCTATTCTGATGTTCTGTCTTCCCCACAGAGATTTGCATTGATGAGGATGAAGGAAAGGGAAATGAGTGAGTATGGCTGGGCAGGGGGCCAACAGGGGGCCATGTTGGGGTAGGCTTGGGGTCTTGGGCCTGTATTTCCTTCTCTACTCCCCCATACCAACTACAGCCATTTTCACTCTGCTGTCCCCTCTCTGGTGCCCCCTTTGTCTTCATCCCATATTCTTCTTATCAGTTATATTCCAGGTGCCATTTGGCTAACCACCCCCCCACATGTCAGTGAGAGAATTGGAAGACCCTTCTAACATTACGGTGATGCCTGACTGACCACCACAAAATCCAGCCTTGATGGAGCCCCTCTTGTTTGGAAATAAACACAAGCCCCTGGTCTCCATGTGTGCACTCCTTGTCTCCTGCACAATGAGGAAGGGGAAGAAGCAAGGGTGGGCTCACAGTGCAATAGCAACAGAAACACCAAAACAACACCCAGGGTTTGGAGGCAGATTTATTTAATGTAGAATAGACACTGACATGGAATCAAACCTTATAAAAATGTCAGGCATTGAAGGCTCAGGGAGGGAGGTTTTTATGGAGTCCAAAAGCAAGAAGCAGAGTACTTGGCTGTCTTTGATTGGTTCTTACAATATGAACCATAGTGAGCAGCTATGCTTCAGTGACCAGCTCTTCCTAAGAAACAGAAGTAAAAGGAACTGTAACAGGAACTGGGCCACTACCAGCTGGGGAGGTTTTTTTGTGCTACATTTTTCTCCTCTTTTAGTTTCCCAGACAAATCTTTGCTGAGCATGTTATATGTGATCTTCTGAGACAAAGCCCAACTAGAAGCAGTAACATTATGGCTGTCAGAGTTCCTAAAACAGGATCTAGCCAAGGACTCCAAGATTGGAAAGTTTTTACCAGGAGTTTGTGGTTTGTTTCTCTTATTATAGAGTCTCTCCCTAAGTCAATTTTAGGAAGAGGCATGATTTAACACTAATCTGGCAAAGGAGTCAGTTTAATCCTGGAGAATTTCCAATGTGCCTTGGATGCTCATCAGATCTTGGTCAATTGTAGAATAAGGAGAAGGGCCTTACTGGCTGTTTTCTACTATCAAAGGCAAAATCCACAGGTAGCAGGAAAGAGGGGAGTAAACAATACAATATTAAATCCAAAAATGGTACAAAAATCAAGGGGAATACTGCATTGAGATATGGAGCGATCCTGTGAATGGTGTCCTCAAACTTCAGCCATGCATGGACTGGTCAGCATCTGGAGTGATCAGAGTAGGGCTTTGAGTGTGTTGCCTTTCCAGAGTGAGCTTCAGAAGAGCTGTCTGGTCCAGGTAAACTCCTCAATAATCATCTGGATGGGCTCTATTAACTCTGGAATTAATATGACATATACATAGGGATGTCTACAGAAATGGCTGGTCTTTTAATTAAACTTTTAAGGAGCTAGTTATAAGCTGTTCCTGTAGGGTTATGTTATTTTTATTTCTTAAACTCTTTTAGAGCTTTGTGGCCTATATGTTGTATGTCTACAAATGTAGACTCATTATCACAGCAGGGCTCTAGAAACTTCTGTTGTCTTTTTAGTGTTGGTAGCAAATGTCTTGGCCCACTCTGAGTAGGAACAAATGAGCACTAAAAGATATTTGAATGCTGAGTGGAGGTCAGGACCAATGACACAGACACTGAAGCCTGAGGTGGCTGCAGGGGTACAGGTGCCAGTGCTGTGGCTAGAGCTTGCAGGACATACAGTGGGGGCAGGTCTGGCTCTGATTAAGAAGGATCTTCCAGAAGTACCAGGTAAAGATTTTCTGTTTGAAATTGGTGTTTCAGTCAATTGGATTTCTGGAGGAGTCTTAGGCCTCTGGACTGGATTATTTTGAGCTCAGGTGTGATGTCATTGGTGGCAGGTTTCTAAACAACAGCAGCAGAAAGCAGTAGCAGGAGAGCTTTGGCCAAAATAACTTTGTCCAAGGTGACCACAGCATATATAACCCATTGGACTCCATTCCTAACAGAGCTACTTCCATCTGTAAACAGGCTGTACTTAGCATCTGTCAGGGGGTTCACTTTTAAAAGTCTGATGGCCTTAACAGTTTATCAGTCAGTGCCAGGCAGTCATGGTCTTGTGGGCCCAGCTTGGTGGACAGGTGGAAAGCATATTTTAAATCCAAGCAGGTGAACCAGGCAATGTTAGGGGAAATCAAACCCAGGAGGGTATAAATGTTGGGAACCACTGAGTACAGAGTTGTGGCGGCAGAGTTGATGGCACAGAGGTCCTAAACTAGTCAGTAATCTCTGTTGGGCTTCTTTACTGGAAGGAGGGGTGTTCCAAGGCAATTTATAGTCAGTCTATTAGGATTTCAAACTGCTTCAAGTGAGAGATGTGGGGTTGTATGCTGGGTGAAGTCTGTCATGACATTGGGTATTGCTTTACAGCAGTGGGGTCTGCAGTAGGATAGAGCTTGATTACCAAAAGGTCATGGCTGATATCAAGCCCCAGGAGTGAGTCATCTGCACATACTCCTGGAAACAAGTCTCTTAAAGCTTCAGGGTTATGACTATCAGGTATTTCAGGCAGATGTAGATACCACTCTTTTCCTTGGGGTACAGTGAGAGTCAAGATCAGGTCCAGGACCATGGGCTCGAATTCAAGGGAAGCTGGCTAGCTTGGAGTGAAGAAAATAATTGCTCCCAACTTGGAAAGGAGGTCATATATTCCAGTGGCACCTATGAATTGGATTCACTGGGAGGTCAAGGAAGCAACAGCCTGAGTTACAACTGAATGTTTAGGTCCACTGTGAGGAGGAGAGTTTCAGGCTGAGGTGGGCCTAGATAATGAGATTCCTTTGTGTCCCTCAGAGGGATGGGTCATTTCTAGTGTCCAAACTTTGCAGTGAGCACATTGGTCAGCTGCTAAGTCAGCTTTTTGGTGTGCTCTGTGGTCTGCCTTATGTCGTTGCTCTTTTTTTTTTTTCTTTCTAGACTTACAAATACCTTTGAGAGCATTCATGGCAGTAAAGCTATCAATCTTTTGGATTTTTCTCCTGATATCAGAGGCTGATTTTGCAACAAAGGAAGCAGTGACCATCTGTTGATTCTCAGAGGCCTCAGGGTCAAAGGATGTATAGAGCCCGTAGGCTTTACAGACTCTCTCATAAAATTTCCTGGGTAACTTCAGTAATTTGAGCAGGCATTTTGATTTTAACCATGCTTGGGCCCTATCTACAAAGTGGCAGAATTCTACAGTGTTAAATAGAGTCAGAAGGAGTTGCTGACAGTCATCCCATGTTGGCAGGTGGGTCTAGAAAGTGGATGTAAGGAGGTCTGTCATTGCCTTGGACTTCTCTGAATAGGATGGGTTGTGATGTTTTCAGTTTAGGAGATCAGTGGAGCTGAATGGTTGGTAATACACTAGGAGTGGTTGATTGGGTGTGCCTCCCTGAGCTTCAGGGAAGACTCGGAGTGGCAGCTGTAGGTGAGCTGGAGCCTTGGGATGAGTGGGAGAGTAGAGGTTGTAGCTGACAGGGCTGTGATCCACCTCCATGAGGTTGAGGGGACAGTCAACATTTTTGTCAATGTTGATGACACATGATAGAGAGTCAATCTGGGGCTCAGGAGGCACATCAGGTGTTATCATTGATGAAGCTGTGAAATCTGGGAGGGCAGTAAGAGGCTGCGGTACAGGAGACTGGTCTGGTGGTGGAGGCACTGGGGCTGTCTAAGCAGCTTGGGGCTGCTGAATGTAGGGAAGTGGCAGGTTGGACTCAGGTTCCTCTGGCAGAACAGGATAAAGTTTTGTTTCTTTTTGCTGGCTGGAGAGCTGCAGTGGCCTCTGGGAAGGCAGAATTCTCAGGTCTTTCTCTGGGAGGGTACTGGGAATTGAACTCAGGACCTTGCACTTTCCAGGCAGGCACTATGACACTGAGCTAGCCCAGCCAGCCTAATTCTTAGGTCTTGTTCAGGCTCAGAAAGCAGTTTGGTTCATTTTAACTCCATAATCGCCAGAAAAACTCTTTTTAAAATTCTTGGGCCTGGATTCAAGGACCATAAATTTTGACTAATTGTTAGGTCCCTCACATTGTACCCCACCCCACTTGAAGAGAAAAACTTCGACAGAGCACCGTCTATTCAAACAGAAAGCCCCTCACTCTGCTCGAGAGACTAAAGTAAATCTGTTTATCAAGATGGTTTTTAGGCCTGGTTCTCAGGCTTACAGGAAACCTCATAAGTCTACAGAATACCGTGCTGTAAATCAGCAACATGCCAATGTCATGCTGCATTTCCTCCCCTAGAAGCACCAGACCCCCAATGACCCCTGAGAAAC